AGATTACTAACCTGGTGCATGAGTCCTAACTGTCAAATAATCGAGATCGAAAGAGCGAAACATATTACAGTAGTTGGGGATATTTTTCAGGTAGCGGGGATTTTCATCTGGGCCTCCATCTACGAGGAGGACCCAGATAGGTCTTATTTTATTATCAACCTTTACCGTATTGTCGAAACGGCCACTATTCACCAACGAATTTAGATCATTTATATGGGTGATTGAGCTTGTTCCTAGCTCATATTGTGGCCGAATATAGATTGATAATTGGCCGCTACGAAGTGTATCATTCGTGTCACTTGGATCAATGATTAAGTAGACCGATGGAACAAGTTTCTGTTGTGAACCAACAGGAAAGTCATGGTCCGGAACAATAACTGGCTCATTTATACTTTGTATAGTCCTAAAACTTCTACTGACCGCAGGAATGCCAAGGGGTACCTTGGCTTTATCGTCTTGTGATATAATCACCGAAAAGGTCGGAAATAGAGATGCAAATTGTCTTGCCGCCTTTACAGAGGCAAAACAATAATGAACATCCTGATGTTCTGTTCTTTCATTTTTTAAAACAGTTGCGACCTGAACCAGCATTTTTAATAGGTAGAAATAAAAAGGTATAAACATGTTACCAAAAAGTTTATAATTTAAAACATTATTTTTTTTTATACCTTAATATATTAAATAAAAATATTTTTTTACAGTCGTCCCTCATTTATATCAACCTATTTGGATCGCTTTTATATTCATATCGATAGTGATATTAGTGAGGGAACATATTAAAGTTGATATATATGAGGAAGTATTAATAAGTATAAATTAATATATAGAAATTCATTTATACTCCGCAAAATCAAACTAAATTTTGAATTTGAATCAAATATTTGATCAAATTAATTAAAATTTTGTCAAATAATTTCAAATATTTGATTCAAATTCAAAATTTGATTCGGTTTTGTAGAGTACTATATACAATCTAAAAAAAGCTAATGGACATCAAATACATATTGCTTACCCGAACATTAGTTGGATGATGGTGATTTTTTGCTTCTATTGTATTTGAACGATGTGGTAGCAGGTAATTATATACAGTAGACCGAGAAAGATGTTCATCGTATTTTGACTTTAGTGCCTCCTGTAAGTGATTAACTGTTTGGACTTTAATAACTTCTTTTCTTCTCTTGCTATCAGCAGCACCGAATTCTATGCTTTCGTGAATATGCTCTAATAAGTCTGGATATTTGTGCAGGACAGAAGGGCGCCCAGGCGAGTCATATTTTACAACTTGCTGATGCTTATTTAAATCTTGATCTTTTTTTTCTCTACATTTGCGCTGGTAATCTGCATTTTTTTTTAGGCTTTGCAGTTTTTTATCTTCGTTATTGAGGACTTGTTTAAGGTTCTGTATGCGATCCATTAGCTCATATTTGGGCTCTGGATCAGTTGTCAAATTATATTCCTCTTGATATTTGGCAATTTCCTTATTTGTTTTAATGATGGTTTCTTTTACTTTTTTCTGTGCTGCAGCATTTGGTGGTGGTGCACCAGGAACAACGATTTTCTCAATTATTTTATTTTGGGTTGAAGTAGCAGTATTAAAATATTGGACAGGATTTAGATATTGGGTAGTAGAGGCGGCATCTTTAATGAGGTATCCAATGGTATTTTCAATTTCATTTTTGGGCTTTAATTTAATTTTATTCCACGCATCAAGGGCTTCTTTGCACACTAAATCTTTTGAATATTTAGGATCCTCGGCGCTGATCATGCGATTGTATGCAAAGGCATTGCAAAATCTTTGGTATTGCGTGTTTGCTTTTTTGTAAATATAAAATTTGTTGTATTCTAACATATTTGAAGCTTGCATTTTAAGAATTAATAAGGATGCGAAAAAAAAAATAAAATGAAGAATAAAAAAAAGTCAAAAAGAAAAGAAAGATTGGAAGAGAAGACTAATAGAAAGAAGAAAATAGAACAAAGGAAGGGTTAAAAAAGAGAAAAGAAAAAATGAAATAAAGAGAAAAAACGAAAAGCAAAAAAAAAATCAGAGGTTACTATTGACTATGGATCAAATAAGAAAAAAAGTAATCGAATAAGTATCTTGAGTGGATTAATAGAATATTTTAGTATTACGGGTTGTTATGGTAGAATTCGGTCATATTTATAGCGAATGAAGCAATATACTAACAATTGGCTATACATCTTGTTAATTATTTGCAATTAAAGTTCGCGCAATTATGAAGCGATTCTATTTATTCAAGTTCAGGAGGTGGTTATAACAATATCCGGCTCGTGTCTGTAGGTATTATATTTTTTTCTGTGCAATATATTTTATCATTTTTTAATATAGTTTTTACAAATTATATTCGATGCATCCAAAAGAATTTATATTAAATATACCCGTCCTTTATTAATGTCCTTTATTAATATAATGGATGGGGGATATACCTGGAGTAAATTTGTTTTAAATCACTCCTTTCTTATTATATTTGACATAATTGATAAATTTTTCTTAATAGTTTAATGGATAGGTTGTGCAGCTAATTTTACATTCAATGTATCTGGAGAAAATTTAAATATCATTTTATTAAAACTTTTGTTTTTTTACAATTGGATTTCTTAATACGTAGGTGGTGCTGCCGATTTACATCCAGAAATTTCAATTTCTTAAAACAGTTAAACAGCAGGAGATACCACCGATCTACATTCGATGAGTTTGGAGAAATTTTCAAACTCTTAAAAACAGATAAACGGCAGGAGATACCACCGATTTACATCCGACAAGTTTGGAGAAATTTTCAATTTCTTAAAACAGTTAGGAGACCCCGCATCTATATTCGATGCATTTGAGGAAACAATGGAATACTGCCAGGCTTTAACCCAGAAAAGATAAGTTCTTAATTTGTCTTAAATTTCTTAAAATAGTTAAACAGACAGGAGGCGCCATATAGGTATATTCGATGCACTTGAAGAACAATGGAATACTTCTGGGCTTTTTCCTAAAACGAAGTAACCAATAAATTTCTCTATCCTACACTAACCTTTGTTTTACACATATAACTTCCTTTTGGGAAGTCTATTTTTGCATTGGTTTTATTTTTTAACAATGTGCCGTTATACCACTGACAAACTATTGGAAATAATTTGTAAAGATATTGTACAGTGCAAAGACAAATATATTGCTGTCGCTAAATTACTTTTTCGGATTTTTTCGATCTGGCATATAACAAATTTAGCCCGAGAATCAGGTACTTAACCTGTAATTTCGATATTTTAAACTAATTAATGTATTTTTGCAATGAATTTACTTCCTCTAATCTAATAATTTTTTATTTTTTAATAATGCCTTCTACTATTTATTACAATCCCTATTCACTATGTGGCTGAGTTTCAATTATGTCACGGGATCATGAACTATATTACAGAATTTATCAGCATTTTTAATGAAAATCGGGTTTGAATATTTTAAAAAAATTTTATATTGCACCAATTTTATTATTATATTTAGTAAACCTCGTTTTGATTCGTTTGATTCGCATTATCTTGCCGGTAAGTATAGCCCCAGATGTTCTGGTTAGTAATTTCAGGTAGGTGCGATTTCAATATTTATCATTATGTTATATTTCTAGGTTAGTGCTGGCAAATGTTTATTGTCACGGCCGATGCTGATTTTGGCTGATTCTGCTTTTGGGAACCTATTTTAATACAAAATTTTATAATTTTTTGGAAATGCATTTTTTATCGAGACTAGTATGATTTCAGTAAAAATATTTTGCTAAAAAAAATTCTTTTGCTATTAAAGGTTAGGGTGTTGTTAGTAGGTTAGGTTTAGAGGGCTGTACTTATACCAAAATTTTGCAAGAAAAACTTTTAATTAGTACGCAGAAGGCAGTTTAATAGGCAAAAGCTCGAGTTACAGGCGATTATTGTTTTTTGAACGTTTTTCACGTTACACCTGATCTCGAAATCTTTGGCTAGTGAAATTTTTTAGATTAGTATTTTTAGGATTGCTTAGACTAGAATTTAGAGCAGAATAAGAGTATATGTGGGTTTTAATAGGTGTAATGGATCCAAATTGAGATCTCCAAAAATCAGCATCAGCCATAACTAGGGATGGATCACTGCGCAGATTTTTGAGAGGCTGCGCATTATTATTTTTAACACTTAGGCCAGCTAGCATGATTCTGGTCGGTTGGCATAATCCTGGTCAGCTTGCATAATGCCGTAGGCTGCGCATCCTGCGCAGTAAATTCAAAAAATGTTCAATTTGCCTATCCCTAACTATGACATTTATTAATTGGCATACTTATCATTATAATGTCTTTCAAAAATTAATGAATGCTGCCGAGGGAAAAAGGCACCTCTGTTTTTCAAGTATATTTATCCTCTGATCAATGACACATCGACTTTAAATTAATCGATCACGATATACCATACAGCAATACAATACACAGTTTTGAACTATCTAATGAAAGCCCGATGTGTGTCGATCAAAAGGGTGAATCAGATAAATAATCAATAATATACTTAAAAGACCAAGGTACCCTTCTCCGTTAGCAGCACTCAAATGGAAGTTAAAAAATGAAAATTTTTTAAAAAATAATTTATAAACCGAAAATTTAGAAAAATTAAAAAATATAAATAAATGAAAAAAAAGGTAAAATCAAAAAAAAAAGATTTTATGTGAACCCAATTTCTAACCTCTTTTATTATTGTTTTTTTTTAGATTCTTGTTATTCCTCCGACCCGAATACTGATGTGAAAGAGGTGTTCAAACGTGAATGGTTTTACTATCATTAGTCTATACTTTGCACATTTTGGATAATCAAGATAGCCGTTTCGGAGATTATGCAAACCACGTGTAAAATTAGGAACTTACTAATGTATATCACGGCGCATTGTGTAATAGGCCGGTAAATTAGTACTTTTTCCAACTGTAATCTAGAAGTTCTGTCGACAAAATAGGCTGCTTTCAATCTTAACATTCTTAGTATGAGACAAAGATGAACAGTGTTAAATATATTGGGTACACGATCAGTCTCATATCAAGACCTGATATACGTTACGTAGGCATACTTAACAATATCAATTTTGCAGGCTCAACTGTAAACCTTGTACAGAGTTGGTCTTTTAAATTAGCCTTCCTTTTTTTTAGAATTTTAATAAAATGACATTTCAACACTAATGTAATGTATATCCGATAATAGCTATAAGTAACAATTGTTTAGTATCAAGCAATAACCAACTTCTTGGAAGGAGTGGCCATCTTGTACAACAAAACGGCAGAGATCGTGGCAGTAGAAGAAACCATGACCGAAGATATGATCTCAGTAGAATTCTCGTTCCGCAATCAGATTTTAATTTTGAAACGTCAAATGCCAAGTGCAACAAAAAAGACCTTGCCAAAAAGGTTAAGATTACTCCTAACTATGATCTTAAAGATGAAAATTGCGTAGATGGCATTGAATTTGGTCCAGAAGAGGAGGATGATGATGGTTTGATGCCACTCGCTAAGACCTATAATATGGCCAAATCATTCTTTGACAACATTTCTTGTGAAATAAAAGAGCGATTGGAACGACAAGGACCTAGTGGCCGGTTAGCAATTTGTTTCTTTAAAGATTGTTAAACACATACAGTATATATATTTTGACAATTATTAATTGTTAATAGGGAATTGTCTATGGCTGAACAAAAACAGAAACAACCTGAAGAAAAACATTTGAATCTCGAAGCTTTTGAGCAATTTTCGATAGATAGTGAAAGATATTATAGTGATTATCGCAATTGTTGTAAAAGTCGGTGCAAATATTGTGGTGGCTGTGAAATCCGTGAAGGATACTCTAACCGCTATATAGGGGAATAATTTTGGGTATACAATCGTTTCTATGTATGCTTTATTATTACCATCATTGCTAACTCTACATTCAAATGTTTTTTCGTAACAGATTTAGCAACAATACGGAGTATGTTTGTTATCTATTATTTATTGAGAAATTTTGTAAGCGATTATAAAATTTTTATTTCCAACATGCTGTTGAATTTGTAACTTTTGTTATTACTATTATAAACGGAATAGGCCGTAATTGATAAAATTTTCCTAAAATCACCCGAAAATTTACTAATAAAGTGGCAGCCCATGTACTAAGTAAAGCTGCCCAAATGAAAATTTTGCTATAATATAGTCAGGGTTGTAAAATTACTGTAATTTTACGTAATTTTGTGAAATTCAGCGTAAGTTTTCAGTAACATACTTTCATATAATTGGTTGATCATATGTACATCGATTTGATCAGTGAACTTTATGTAGAATCTACTGTAGTTCAATAATAGTGACGGTACTATATATCAGTGTAAAATTTACATGAAATCCATGTTACTGAAACTTACGTATTGTAAATTTGTAAAATGTAATTTTCAACCCTAAATATAGTGGGCTGATATTATTCTTTGATGCCGGCCTAGCTCCAACCTATTTCCGACACTAAATTCGGAATTTTGGTTGCGCAGCTAATCTATCCATCAACAACCCTCCTAGCGCATCCACAAAGATTGGCCAACCAGGTGTAACGTAAATAATCGAAGCAAAATAACTCGAAATTTTAATTAAGAAATTGCTTTCTGCGGCTTAATTAAAAATGTTCTTTGTGAAATTTTACAGCTAGGCATAAAGTTATTCCAACTCTAACCCAAAATATAACGTAGTTTTATTCTTGGTAAAAAAAAATTACGGAAGTAATATTTTATAAAACCGTTTTTTACTGCGCCACAAGGTCGTTATGACATAATCTCGAAAAACTGTTAACTATTAATTAATGTAGGCCGTTATGACAATCTTGTGAGGACAATAACCGTTAGAACCATTAGTTACTGCGCCAAATGGGGCCGTTATGACATAATCTTGTGAGGAAAATAACCGTTAAAACCGTTAGTTACTGTGCCAAATGAGGCCGTTATGATATAATCTTGTAACGGTTAATTACTGCGCCATATGGGACCGTTAACCAACCATTTAGTAATTATGTAAAGGGTTTCTAGGGGGTTCCAAAACCCTGGGTCTGAGGGGGGGGGGGTATATTTACATAATAAGTGGAAGCTCCCTATAATAAATTATTGTTTAAATGTTTAAAATAGATAAAATATCAATTTAAATTTTACACACAACTCTCCCTAACGATCACTTGGACCAACCGTTTCCAACCAACTCAAGTTGAAAAATTCGAAGTCAGATGTCTAAAACTATCCAAGTTTCTTCTTTCAATCATTATTGACGAAGCCTTTAACGTGATACATCGAGGAGCAAGCATTAAAGAAGCAGTTTTTAGGTTGAGTCAAGCCTTTTCTTCTCTTGGTGGACTTCTTCCTATATTCAACATTCAAGCCAGAAGGGTTTTTCTGATAGTGATTAAACAAAAGAGAAACTGTGGATAGTAAAGAAAGAAGAACAAGAAACAACTTGGAAAGCACTCACTACAGTAGAACCTCGCAAAAACTTTGTATTCCTTTGGTGCTTTTTTTTTTTTTATCAAAATTTTCGACAAAAAGTAGGGGATTTGGCTACCCCCCTTCAAAAGATCAGCAAAAGATTGGCATTGTTTACCACTTCCATTTTCGGAAAGTCTCGAGTTGCGATATGACGAATTAGGAAAACAACAAAACACGTGTGAGGAGGAAGTTTTGAGGCTGGAATTAAAACTAACGATCATGTGTCGAGGCTTTGAAGTCGAATGTTCTAGGACCTAAATTGGATTTTATATAAGAGTTGTAACTAGAACACTGTATGAGATATGTAACATTTCGAAGTCATATGCATATAATTTTTAACTCTTAGCACAGAATAAAGTGCACTTTAGTTTGTTTTTCTGTCAGATAGCTCTATGTATAGATTTCTACGACTATGTAGATAGTTTTTTACCTAGTTAGCAGGTTTTTATATCTGTAAATAAGTTCTCTTAGATTTTAGAATAGTTTTTAATTCCTTTAAATTTGGTCATTTTCTTTTTTGTTAGTTTTTTCTGTACTTACCCTATTTTCGTTTTTACACTTACCCAATTTTTTTCTTTTTTACTTCTTTACAAGAAAGTGTTATCAGATTAGCAACACTCTATTGTAGAGCAGTGATTCTGACAAGGGTGGTGAAACCATCTGTTGATACTAGGGCTTAAATCCTTAAAAAGTTGAGGATCCTGATGAAGGAAAATATTTACTTAGGCAGGTCGCTCCTGAGTCATACTCTAGCGTTTAATTCTGATAAGCTAGAATTAGGTTGCGATAACGAGATAGATCAAGAGATTCTTTATTTGGACAGGCATTAAATAGTTTATAAAGGATAATGTAGATTTAGCTAAATTGAATGTTCATTTGTATTCTATAGCCGATTTATAAAATAAAGAAAGGATCGCTAAAGTAAAAAAAAATAGATAAAATATACTATATAAATAAACTAATAAAAAATAATATAATATATGGGATGCATAAAACTAAAACACAGCTTATAGCTTTTTTTAAATTTTAAGAAAATCACGTTTAAAATTTCATATAACAATAATAATAATGATCTATTATTAGTATAACCTGTTGGATCGATATAAATTAGCCAATCACACTAATGCATTTCTATGACTCTGCAGCAAGGATTGACAATCAGATTTCTAAATTCTAATTTTAGATCAACTCTAACCATATATGAGATTTAAAAAAAAAGACATCAAAAAAATTTTATTATGTAAATCAATATACCAGGAACGAATATAATGAGTGTATAGTTTATACGCTGTTTGGAGTGGGATTTGTCCACAAAATCTTAAGTTTGATTGGTCCGCATGACTTATTCATCAAACTTTGCTTATTTTTCACATACATTTCATTGCGCC